ATCAGGTCTGTTAAAAAGTGACAGATGGGTGGTTATAGAACATTCTCATAAGGCCTATTAGCACATTCGCAGGAAGCGTCTGTGGCGTGGACTGCCGGGGACTTGGCCTGGAGAAGAACACAGGATCTTCGTGGGTCTTTGTGGACCTGGGATGTGTGCTTCACGACCGGCAGCATCTCAGTGTGCCACTCTCAGACCTCCAGCATAGCGTTTTTGCAGGTGCCGCCCTGCTGCTCCACTGAGGATAGACAGACTCATACTCAGAAGGAGAGCTATTCTGTTGTGGTAGCAAATATTTGCACGCTACACTTTTTTTTTAGTTGGGAGTCTCACTTCATCACCCAGGCTGGAGTTCAGTGTCACGTTCACGGCCACTGCAGCTCGACCTGCTGGGCTCCGGCGATCCTTCCGCCTCAGCCTTCCAAGTAGCCGGAACTACAGGCACGCGCTACCATGCCTGGCTAATTTTTTTACTGACCAATTATAGAGACAAGGTCTTGCCAAGTTGCCCCTTGGCTGTTTTTGAGCCCGTGGGCTCAGGCAATACCTTCACCTTGGCCTCCCAAAGTGCTGGGATAACAGGCTTGAGCCACCACGCACACTCTACACTTTTATTGTTACTTTCGAAACTGAGAGCAAGCATTTTAGAAGGGAATTATCACTGGCTTTCCTGAAGATCAAGAAAGTTCAAGTGAGGCTGTTTCCTCTAGACACTTCTCTTCAGCCACAGCTTCAGAATCTCTAGAATTGGTTTAGCAATTCTTTTTCTGTTTCTTATTTTGGCTTTATTTTCTCCTCAAACAGAAAGTATCCTCCTCATCGAAACCCCAAAACTAAAACGAAACACACATACACGTCCCGTAACAGAAACCCACTCATGGTCCATTTGACATATTTTCCAGAATGCAGGGAGGTGATTTTCCCGTTACTGTCTCTGAAGCGCTTCTCTTTTCACAGTCTCGGAACCTGAGAAGCCACTTGTAGGGAAGTCACTGCAGCTGTGTCGCTGCCAGCACACCTGACCCGGCTGAGACTCGGAGCTCTGCCTCGCCAGGGGGTTTCGGATCAGGATGAGCTGGACTTGAAACTGGGACCTGCCACTTCCTAGCCTAGTGACTCGGGACAAGCCTGCTAACCTCCCTAACCTCATGTGCCCACCTGCGGAATGGGGGACAAAGAGCTTCTCCCTTGTGAACTTGTGATATCAGGGAATTCTGGACTCCAGTCCATATTATGCCACTTATAGCGCTGTGGTCACACTGCTTATTTGACCTCTTCATGCTTCTCGCTTTTCCAGTTGCAAAGAGGTAAAAACATGGTGGCTGTGTCCTTGGCATACTGTGAGGATAAACCGCATGACTTACAAGCAACTCTGTTGCAAATAAAATTGTGAAACACTGCCCGTTTTTCTATCATGATGCTTTTTAGCGATGACAGGTGTTACCAAAAAAGTAAGGACTGAGAAGACACTTTCCCTTATTCCTTTCTCCTTCCAGAAAAAAGTCCAGCCTCTCAGTCCAAACTCAGACCCAAGTTTCAGAACTTCACTGAATGCATATCACAGCTGAGAGAGAAATGGACAAGTTTTTATTAGAAGTTTTACGAGGGAAAGTAAAACCAATCAACTTCAAGGAGGCACAAGAAGTATACATAAAAGCACTCAGCTTATGAAGAAGTGATCCTAACCCATTTTCTGCTTTTACATTCCAAATTTAGTAAAGCTTCCCTTTTATATAAATTGTACAGCACATCTGAAGCTATTTTTAGTTGGAAGGGTAAGATTTTTTGGGGAAAAAAGTATAGCTGATGTCTCATTCAATTTTATTGATGCAACTACTTAGTAACTTGTCATCTAAAATTTCTTTTTCTGTTTCTTATTTTGGCTTTATTTTCTCCTCAAACAGAAAGTATCTTACTCATAAAAATGTGGCATTTTAGAGTCTACTCATAAACCTCAATCTCTTGAAGGATAGACCAGTATGTTCTGAGAGTTGTTCACAACAAAATATTATTGGCTTCTGAAATGATATTTCACTCTTCGCTGGAAGTGTTGGGATGGATGACTTGAATTTTAGATGCGGGGATTCTCCTGTATGTCACTGTAGCACATAAACATTACACCCGAATCCCTTATATGCTTGCTTTCACTATGACATGGCATCAATCACGAGCATTTTAACATTTTAACATCAGGTGGGGCTGGGGACATATAACCTCTTGGGTTCCTTCAGTCCTGCTATCATGTGGCTGCTACTATTTTTGTTATGTTTTGCATTATATAAACTGTCTCCAAATCCTCAGCAACTCATTTGTGGAGATACTATCTTTCGTTTCTATAGTGTTCTCTTGTTTTCTACGTAAGGCTAGGCATCTCTAGGCATTTAACTTAAGCTCCACTGGAGATTTAGGGCTGTCAGTTTATAAGTCTGTTCACTCATCCACTCAAGAACAGTTACCAGCAGCTCTTGGAGGAGGGCTGAGTCCATCGGCCACCTGGCCATGTGTCTTGATGCAGGGAAGAGTTGGGAGTATTCAGAGAGGGGAGGAAGAAAGGAAGGAAAGGGCTTTGGGGAACACAGAAAAAGAGGCATGCCTCCCACATTTGGAAAAGCGTCTAGAAAGTTAGTTCCATTACCACTCCACCATGATCACTTCATAATACCGTTGCAGGTTAATGGCAAGGACAAAAGTTAAGCCTGACTTTTGGGACAACACAACAGACTAGGAGAGGCCATGTAATTTTTCTCTACTGGGGGGAAAAATACTCCAAACCATAATCCTGCAAATACTTAGGAAGATGAGACCTGGTGCTCCATAGAAATGAAGGGTACCCCTCACAGAACCCTGACATCCCCACTCTAAATATTCAGAATATTCTCGTACTCAAGAGGGAGGGAGGTGATGGCCTGTCCGGCATTTGATTTCACTGCCTTTGTAGACTTAGTGTGCTGAATTCCTATGCTGAAGGCTCAAGCAATTAATATTTTAGAAAGCCCAGGGCATTTACAGAATGCCTTAAATTAGCCATCTGGGTGACTTCTAAGCCATCATGGTGCCTTCTAAGGTGACTCCCGGAGAGCTTCAGTCTTCAAATGGCTGCACGGAGCACGTACATGCTAACATCCTGACCCAGGAGGGCGAGGTGAAGGCATACACATCCTAATGAAAAATGACAGGGCACTCTGTCTACCCGGATGACACGCTGGGCAGTGGCCTCAGGACCCAGTGACCTTCTCTGCATAATTCAATGGCGGGAGGGGGAGAGCCCGAGGCTTCTCTAAGGAAAGCCCCTAATTTTGGATCTGGGCGAGTCCATACTATTAGAAGAAAAACAAATCCCTTATTGGCTGAACATGTGACAAATCTTAGCATTTATTTCAGAGCTTGGAATCAGGAGGTTGTCTCCTTCAGAACACAGAGACTCCCCTGAATGTTTTACTTATAACTCTCTAGTCCTCTTCACAGAATTAAAAATAGATTAACCATTCAATGTGGCCTAAACTCCAAAGCCAGCTTCCCAAGCCGTATGCATAAAGATTTAACTTTTTATCATTTCAAGATTTTTTTCCCTAATAATTCAGAATGAGCTGGCAGGACCAACAGACTGAAAGCCCAGCAGTGTTTTTACTGCAGGCCAATAAATGCTGTCAGACAACCAGTTACCCTGAGCCTATGGGCCATGGTGGCGGCTGGGCTGATGGTCACGTAACACTTTTTGGGAGAAACCTCATTCAAAGTCTTTCCAGGTTTATCTGAAGTAAAAGCAAAAAGGAAAAAACAACAACAAAAGCGAGACCTCATCTCTACAATAAATCAAAAAAATCAGCCGGGCGTGGTAGCGCATGCCTGTAATTCCGACTACTCGGAAGGCTGAGGCGGAAGGATCGCCGGAGCCCAGCAGGTCGAGGCTGCGGTGGCTGGGAGCGGCCACTGCACTCCAGTCTGGGCGACAGTGAGACTCCAACTCAAAAAAAAAAAAGAAAAAAAAAGAAAACAAAGTCAAGGATATACGTTTGAAAAAAGATGTGGAAAAAGGAGTTTTCACAGTGACAAATCAAGAAATCTGGCTTTTACTTTGCACACATGCGGGTTTCGTCGCATTCAGGGTGTCCTTGATTAAAACAAGCATCTTGATGCTGATATGCCAAAAATCTGTTCTTCCCCTTGCCCTCTCCCCCTACCTTTCTGGAATCAAACAAGGAAAAAGCTTTCTCGCTGCGCCTCGCGGCGGGTTAATGGGCACCTGTGTTCTGATTTATTGCACATGCTGCCTTCCCTGGCCCGGTGTTAGGCAAGGAAATCAGCATGGAAGGTGGCACGGCAGGAGTGACCTTTCACTAATCACTGCACCTCAGTTACTACTGGCACAGCTCATTATACAAAGGAATCCTTCAATGAGCTGGCTTTCAAATACAGTCACACTTTGATTTTCTTGAGAACAAAGATTATACTTTCACATGAAAGCCTCTGATGCACAATTCTGTCAACTGGGGCACGAAAGTAAAAAAGGCACCCTGTTAATTGTCTGTCGTTATCAAGGGGCTGCAAACTGCATCAAAGTTTGGCCTGCAATCCTGGCTTTCATTATGGAGGTCAGAACATTTTTATTGACTGCCCGTTATTAAGATTTTAGAGAGACGTCAATCATCTTGGCTGCCCTGGATACAGAAATCAGGCTGGAAAGCCCCGAGTAATCAACCCCAGTCTAGAAAACAACAAATGACGGGAGAGCGTCTTATGCCGAGCAGGAATTCTCAGCCCTTCGCGTTGGAGCTGTTATGCAAGGGGAGGGTGGGTGGGACACACGGGAGGCAGGGGGCCTTTCAGAGCAGCCAACTCCGATGTCCACACCTCAGACAGAAGGCTGATGGGTCTGGTCACTACTCTTCGTTCTGTTTTCCCTGTTTCTTTCTTTGCCCTCTGAACCCGCCCGAAATCTGACAGCGGCACAGTCCAAAGGAAAGGCATGCTCAAAAGGAGAGGCGTGCTTCCTGACTTACCCGCCATCTGCTGAATGCCACTGAATGCACCCAGGTTGCTGGAGGAGGTGGCTTGCTGCAGGAGCTGCAAAAAAAACGCACAAGACCTGAGTCAGGGCAGGGAAGCTGAGAACCACGTAACCTCCTCGTGACACGGGGGCAAACCCAGTTTCCCCGACATGGGTAGAGTTGGTTGCCACTGCCTACTGATAGACTGCCGGTCTCCAGAGCTGGGGCTGTATATCCATATTAATGTCTAATCTCTATTAAGAAATAGACACCGGGGAAACTCACTGACGCTGCTGCCTTTGAACAATTAATCAATTTACTCTTTTTAACAACCAGGTGTTAAATCTATTGAAACCAACATAGCGTGACTAATTGTCTCTCTCCATGTCTGGTAGTTACCATAACTCATCTCTGCCAATCAAGGCCAGTTCCCTCCATCTCTTTGGCTTTCCTGCAAGCTTCAGTTTCCTTTATCCTTCATTAGAAGGACACGGGTCTCCTGACTGTAGGCCCACAAAAAGACCATCACGATAACGACAGACATACATGCAGCTGGCAATTCACGGCCATAACTGTATGACAAGCCCACGGTCAGTCATCTTTAAGGACTTCACTGGCAGAAAGAGATATACAGCTTGTCAAAACTTGCAATTACCTGGTGCTATGTACGTTGAAGCGACGCACCCTAAATACGTCAATCTTTTTAAGAAATTAATATACCTGTGAAAAAGTCTGCATTTTTCCCTGGCACATTCAAAAACACGTTTTCCTGCCATGCAGAATCAGCGGGTGTTGTGACATAAAGGCATGTGGGCCCCCATTCTGAGTGCAACTAGACTTGACGAATTCAGCTGAACTATGGGTTAGTTTAGGTGTGACACTGAGTGTTGAGCTGGATTTGTGGATATTCTTTTTGTTACGGTAGATCGGTACAGATTTAGTTTGTAGTCAGGGTAAGCATACAGTTATCTCCTGTATTCAAATGTACGTGGATACCAAAAAGCATAGACTTACCAAATTTATTACTGAAACATTGTTACAACATTCTGTGCTTAGGGAGTATGGGATGGATTCACTATTTAAAAAGTAACTTTCAGCATTTATTTGGAGTTTTGAAAAACATAATGTAGAACGCCACCCCTCCAAGAAAGCATGGGTCTCTTCAGCTTCATATGGAAAACTACAAATAGCCACGACTCAAAGGTGGGCATCTCTCAGCTGAGGTAAAAGCACCACACAGTGTGGAAGGAACATCAGTGGCTGATTCAACTGAAGTCTCACATACAACGATAATATGGGGCTTAGCAGGTACTAAAACAACAACAAAACTCTGTAACATTCACTCGGTCCTCTTGACTCCTTGGAATAGGATACTTAGGTATTCTGTGCACACACCCACACAAACACACACATGCATGTACATACACTCTCACACACATAGAAGAAGGAAGAGTGTGAGGAAGAAGGAGATGTTAGGAATTATCTACCGCGATGGAGTTGACTTATTTTGGTTTGACTTGTTGGGTTTTCCATTTTCTTGTGCTTGTAAGCCCCAATCCCTCCCTTGGACGTTTTTGACATTTTAAACATTAAAGCAAAATTGAAGTAGCTTTGAAGATATTTTGAGGAATCAGTAGCACCTACTATATTAAGTAAAACACCTGGAGTGTCATAGAACCAGGGTTATGACCATGGATACCCAACCTCCGCTGAGTCAGGGTCAGAATCTATCACTCAGCACAGCCAAGGGGCTCTTTTAGGGAAAAGGATTTTTATCTGAAAGGGGCAGAACAAACATGACTGAGAAAGAATCAAAGCCCATGAGACAAGAAAACATAGGAAGAGCTTATGACAACGTGCTTTTATACATTCTCTTTCAGGGAAGAAATAATCTGTACACATGGTCACAGAAACACATGGTGGAGATTCTGAGCACCACAGGGAAGTGCCAGAAGACTGAGGGTGGGCACGTGTGTCTCAGTTTCCAGAAACAGTGCTGTGAGAAGCTGGACTCTTAGCAGCTATGGGAAGGTGAGCATGACACCAATCTCGGGTAAAAATTCTGGCAAACATCAGGAAACCAGTGATCTTAAGGATCTGAATGGCATGAGGTGGGAAAAGCAAGTCTTTGCTGAGCTAGACTTGTTTCTCTTTTTGGTTTTTTGAGTTGGCTAGGTTTGGTTTGGTTTTTTTGCCCAGGTTAGCGTGCAGTGGCACGCTCACGGTCACCACAGCCTTGACCCGCTGGGCTCAGGAGATCCTTCCCCCTCAGCCTTTCAAGTAGCTGGAACCACAGGTGAGCACTACCATGCCCAGCTAATTTTTTGATTTATAGTAAAGACGAGGTGTCACCAAGTTGCCCAGGCTAGTCTTGAACCCCTGAGCTCAGGAAATTCCCTCACCTTGGCCTCCTAAAGTGCTGGGATTACAGGCTTGGACGGATTTTTTTTTTTTTTTAAACACAGTTTTTAGACAGACAGGTCAGGAAAAAGATGGCAGAATACACAGCGATTCCAACAAGACAGCTGACAAAACCTCTCAGAGGTGGGGAGGCTGCCAGTGCTTTGGTCACTGCCTCAGATAAAGAAGGAACACACTTCCCACTCACTAGCCACGCATGCTCTGAAGAGCTCTTACACGCCAGGCCCCAGAGGCACTAGGGCGTGGTGTGGACAAAGATGACAGTGATCCACATGCACCCTGGGGTTCTCACAGAGGCGGCACAGCAAGCTGGAGTCATGTGGGTGGAAATCCCAATGCCCGTCAGCAGCTGATACCTAGGCTGGAGGAGACAGGGCCTCCCTTTCCCTCACCTTACTAGAAGCAGGATCATCCCACCTTTCAGATGAGAGGGAAGATCACCTTACACACAACACAGATTCTGCTACAAAGGAAAGCGGTGGATGACACCAGCCTGAGAGGGGCTGTGAGGATATGAAATGACAGAATCAGGACACAACACGTGCATGCATGCGCACACACACACGCTCTCTCTGAGGCTGGAACGGAAGGCCCGAACTCACAATGTGCAATTGCATTAACAAGCGTTCCACAGCAGAAAAATGGACTAGAGGAACACGGCTTAGAGGTAGCTCGAGTGAAAATAAAAACTCAGGATTGTCACCACCTTCCAGGCCACCTCTGCCATGGTGGCTGCCAACACCACTCCTCAAGCTGTCGAGAGCCAGATGCTTTCAAGCCCACACTGGGGTTACTGTTCTGCCCTGAGTAGATCTCACTAGGGAACTGTCTTAAATTCTGGTCGTTGTATTTCAATGAAGACACTGATAGCAAAATGGGCAGCGCCAAGGAGCAGGGAATGCTGAGAAACCACGGAACGTAAGATGGGCTTGTAAGAGCTGGGTGCGTCTGACCTGAAATATTATCTAATTATGCTGGTTTCAAGTAGATGAAGTAGGAAGCATTTGATTTCATCAACACAGTTCCCCTGGGAAGACCCAGGATCACGGAAGGGAAGTTTCAGCAGGTTTCGGCTGAGGTCCTGTTGGGCCACGCACTCACCTGATGGGCTCTCTGGCACAGCTGCCGCATGAGGCTGGGTCAGCTGTCAGGCAGACCGGCTGTCCACACGCAAGGCTCCAGGATGCCTCCCGGACACTGGCGAGTGGGACATGGTGGCCTGTGGAACTCAGCCCAGCCTGCACCAGGCAGGAGCTCAGTGAGGCCTATTCTTAGGCTAACCTATTTAACTTGGAAAAACAGTCTGCATAGACGCTCACTGCCGGGACTTCCTGAGGCTCCATGTGGCCCGAAAGGAATTCCTGGACGTGCACTCAGGGGAAAGGTGGGGCTGGGGAGCACAAGCCTCCCTGGGAGGGCTGCGGGCTAGCACTTACCGCCAGGTACTGCGGGGTCAGCCCGCCCAGCCCGGTCAGGTTTCCCCAGGTGGCAGTGTTGAGCTGCTGCATCTGTTGGGCCAGCTGCTGCTGCAGGCGCCTTTGCTCTTTGTCCTTCTGAGTGTCCGCGAACTTCACCACGATAGGTGAAGAACAGCCCTGTGGTCAGACACATTGGAAAGCGGAGAGGGGGTTACAGGCTGGCTGGACCCCTCGCACACGCGGTCAGCACCGGAACTACTCTCTAATCTAGCTCGGAGCGCCCGGGACGGTCTGAAAGGGTCTGCCACGGTGGGATACTCCTTCTTCTTCTCTGAACTGTACCATCCACAGAAAATTCCAGACACCGGCACTGGGTTCTGAGGGGGGCCGGGGGTCGGTGCGGCCATGTGCTTTCTCGCTCTGATTATTAACTGCCTCTCCTCCTCTTCCCGTGTCTTCCTTCCACCTTGCAGGGCCTCAGAGACAACAGACCAGTGAAAGCGTTCTTAAGTTAGCTTCGCGGATGGCTCGCCTCAAAGACAGACTTGGCTTTGCGTGTCTGCCCGTTCCCGCAGGCGAGCAGAGGACAGGGGAGGAGGGATGCAACGGGCACGAAACTGTCCCCTCCTCCGCTTATTTCTCACTCTTTCCAATGTCCAGTTAGGCCTGTTTGCACTGTGGGATTGTGGGAATCATATCAATCCAGCAATCACAGGGAGAAGGGGGACTTCATCGAGTCATGTGGAGGAAGGGAGGGGCTATTCGGAGAACATGGGTGTTCCCCAAAGCCACCATCGCCATGCTTTCAGAAGGGCTCTCTTCCTCCTTCCATGCTGCCTCTGCTCTATCTGCAAGCCCTGGAGCTTTTGCTAACCCCAAAAAACCCCCCCAAAACCCCAAAAACCCAAGAAGCACGTTCTAGTCAAAGGGGATGGATCTCAAATGGCAGGAGGAGGCCTCTGCTTGGCTTTCTTCCCTAATGAACCTCACTGTTGTAGCAGCTTCTTTCGGTTTTAGTTTCCTTTAAAAGGCAAGGAGTAGGGGTAGTGAGAAAGAAACGGCCAAAGGTCCTGGAATTCATTTTTGAGGTAGCCAAGATTATCAGGGCGAACGATGGCCCAACACCTCAAGTGCGAAGGCCGCCCCGAGCACCTGCGAACACCTGCCACGTGGTCGGTCCCTGGCAGAAGCCCGCCCCTCCCTCACCAAGCTCTCCTCCCTTCCTAGTGGGACTTGCCTGCACATTTCATCGTAGTTAAAACTGCTGCATTTTGCTGAGGTATCAAGAAGTAATTTTACCCGAGTGCTTAAATAAAAACTTGTTATTGAAACTCAGCACGAAAACAGACCTCTCTCTCTCCTCTCAGAAATGTTATATTCCTATTTAAATGAGTTTTCCCATTCCATCCTCTTTGGGTCATTTTTCTCTCTTCTAGAAAACAAACTTGAATGCTTGTTTTTTTTTTCTTATCACCTTGGTTAGTTATTGGGGATGTAGCTATGAATACATGAGGAGATCATGTCTATTAAAAAAAAAAAGTGGGAACAACGAGGTGACTGTTTTGGTGTTAGACTTCCAGTCCAGCAGTTTCCAGCTCTGGTAGGCGGAGTCAAGGCACAGAATATTAAATGTCAGGAAAAATGCACAAAAGTAATATTTCCATCATGTAGAAAAATCTATCATTCATTCTTTCATCTGCTGTGTGTTTCAGCACTTCATCACTTTAAGGAAAGCAAAACATTCTGAAGACAAAAATTATCCAGAAAAGGGGTTTTGCTTGGAAAAGCGTTGTTACTATTGGATCAAATTTGTGCTGTAACCAATTACAGCATCTCTTCCTAACAGTACATTTATCTGTTCTTCCTTAAATGCTAAAAAATGATATAAAAGCAGAAAATTAGGCCAATGATTATGGTTTTAAAAATGACTATTTAAACCATGAGAGAGAGAGAAAAAAAAAACAAAAAACAGGGTGGGGGTAGGATGCAGGAAAGTGAAGAGGTAAAAAGGCACAACAGGAAATTAATTGTTTCTAAGACCTTGTTCTTTTAATATTCACATTATTTTGAATTAGATAATATATCTTGGTTAAAGATGTATGCCAGGGTCCTGAAAATAACATGATTAGTTAAAAAAACCAAACAACTTCAGGCATACAATTATAATGTGACTACATAAAATATAATCTCCCGTTTAAATGTCCATTTTAGAAAGCTAAATAAGAAATCTAGGTGTCTGAGGGCCCCTTTGCTTAAGTGTGGATGTCCAGCTTGAAAAACAAGTGCACCAAATCTGATGTTTTAATAATAGAGATATTAATGAGAAAGGATCAAGGTTTCTTGATCATTGAGTTCGCCCATTTCTCTAGCATATTCTTCCCAATGTGAGAGCTTGTTATCTTCTTGGTTTTGGTTCACACCCAGTTCTGCCGTGAGATCTTGAGTGCTCCCTCTACAGTGACACAGGAGAGCGCAGACCCATCAGCATTCTCCGTGGCTCTGTGAACAGTATTGGGGGCGGGGGAGTCCAAGGAAGGAGCAGGGGTGGTGGTGTTTCTAACAGAGTTGAAAGAATTTAGGGGAACAGTTATCCAAGGAGAGACCAATTTGGGTACAAACTACTAAATTACAGGAAAAATAGTTAAGAATGAAACACATGTATAAATATAAATATATGCCTTTTTTCCCCCCCTAACAGCACTTTCATCTTAATCTTCAAACTCCAAAGTGGCTGGAAATCAGGCTGACCCCCAGTCACGGGACAGCCCAAGTTCAGAGAAAGGGAGCCGAAACACGGTCACATGTGGAACGGCATATCCTACAAGCCTGGATTCCTACATATTTCAAATCCTGCTTATCAATTCCTAACATGGCTGATTTTCACCTGAGTTTGCCTTCAGGTGTGTGGGGGGGTGAGTGCCTTAAAAATGCATTGCACTGAAAGGAAAACACATTGATTATATAAGATACGTTAGGAATATCAGTCAAAATGAATGATCGAAAAAGACAGTAGCCTTTGCAATGCTGATACCACAACTCAGAAAAGTACAGTAAACACTTAATGACAATGCCATGCACACTCCTTCCCCCCTTTGCACCCACCTTTTGATCCACTAAAGAAAAAAAAGTTGCCCACAAAACATGACGCGTAAGGATCACTTAGCTCCCAGCATGCTTTGGGAGATGCAGCATTGCAAAAAACAAACAAAAACAAACAAACAAAAAGTAAAACCCCAACAAAATGGGGGTAAAAGAGAAGCTCAAACAATCAATAACAAAGTTTTCTGCATATTAAATAAAAGGGAGATCATCTTTTTTTTTTCCAAAATATGAAAACATAGTTTCAGATAACACAAGGCCACCTCCAGAGAAGATCACCCATACACAGAGATACAGTGTACGTAATACAGCAGAACATGCACTCCCAATGGTTCTATCAGACAATACAGAATAAGTAACAGCATATCACTCTTGGAATGCTTTTGTGCAAAATTCTGAAAGGCCATGACCCAAATCACAGACTAAAAGTACAGAGCCCTCTATCTGCGTTTATGGGTGTACAATCCCCCCAGTAAACTTATCTTCTTCGGAAGTCACGATCTCTCATTAAGAGACCACATTTGAGCCTTTATGCTTCTTTGTTATTGCTCATTTTCTGTGAGGAGACAAATCTAATGTTTCAGGGGACTCTTGTACATTTGCATTTTCACTGTTAAATGAAGTGGGAGAAGTATTAACTTTCTCCAACATTCTTCATGCAAAAACATAATTCTGTTTGACTACACTGAAAAGAACTTGACCCCATGTTTTTAAAAAAAAAAAGCATCAGCAGCACCCTGTGACTTAGCACAGGGGGAGCAGCAAGTTGGGATGGGGGCTGTTTCCGTTTCATCCACACCGACCCTGGGGTGGGGAATGTACTGGATCCTTTAGGCCCAGAAAGACACTTGGCTTAGAGTGCATCATGGCTTTACATCTCAGGACCTGGACCGCTGCAATAAAAGGCTCAAAGAATAGCTGTAGAGCAGGTGGAAGGTTTTACTAGAGGCATTTCAAGTCATTAAGGGAAAAATGCAGAGGGAGAGAGTGAGAATGAGAGAGAGAGCGAGAGAGAGAATGAGAATGAATGAATGGAAATCGAGACGGTGAAAGTTTAAATCTGTGATTGTCATGTGAACAATCCACACAGGAGAGAATTGCTTTACCATTCCCCATCATTTGCACAAAGAAAACAAAGAAAGGGCAGATGATACAGTACCTCCATGGTCTGAGACTGATGCATGGCTTTGATTGCATTCTGTGCCATTGCCCTTGTAGAAAATGTGACAAACGCACAGCCTGTGGGAAACAGGGGGACAGGGAGCAGGAAAGACAAAAACAACAAGACAAAAGGGTTGGACGCTTGTTAAACCAACACAGTCTACGAGAACGGCCACAAGACGACACTGTTCTCAGTAGTACATGAAAATTAACAACTTCTCTCTTTGGTTCTTATCTTATTTTGCTTTTTATGCACAGTGCTGACTTGCTAATCTGACCAAAGCAGAAAGACTTATTTATTAGTTTATTTTTTAAATGGAAACTAGGGGAGGAAGTTGGGTGCTGTTTTTAGCCACAGGGTCTGAAATCAGCAAAATCTAGTTTGCATTTTCTAAAATAAAAAGTTGCTCTTTTCCATTTTCTCCTTGACTGATGATCTTTATGGAGGGTATCCACACATGAGGGCTTTGTATTTCAAATTTCATCGCTGATTTTTGAAGAAGCAAATAAGAAGATCCTCACACCAAGGGCAAATTAGCAAATAAGTCTCGAGAGCTCAAAATGTCAGCAAATAAATATATCTATTCCCTTCTGGGTAGTTAAAAAAAAAATATATATATAAATACAAGTTGATGCCATTCAAATGCAAACAAACATACTAAATCCGTTACAAACTATTTAGTCATTATTAATTATTGACAAAAACAAATGCTCTATTACTCTGAGAATATTCAACAGTGCATATAAAGTAACATTTTGAAATGTGCATCAGAATTTCTGCTTATATAAAAATCTTCAAGACTTTTGAGAGCTGTGAATTTCTGAAATGTATCAGAGGTTTGACCTCAACGCTCACATACGCAAGACAATATACATTTCTCTGAACGTCTGCTGCGAGGCCTGTAAGATTTTCCGTGCCTATTTCTTCTCGTGCTGTAATGTAACGGGCCTCTCTAGTGTCCGGTACCACTTATTGTACCAGCACTGGCCACCATGCAGGTCAGCGCTTCAGCTGCATGGCTCATCGGCCTCTTCGCTAATAAAAACACTGCCTTCTCAAATTTACATTTTATTCATCACGCATCCTTGGGCTTCTTAGAGAAAAAGACTGTGAAATTAATGCAGATTCAGGCTGATTTTATAATAATACCACAGCACACTAAAAGCTTAGCTACAGCAACACAGACTTATTTCACTTATGATCTCTAATGACTTTAAAAGTGCATTGATTTTCAGCTTCTTTAGGCTTGCACAGTTTGAACTTAGGTATCAGAGAATAATTTAGTGTTCCACTCAATTTCCTCAAAACATTATTATTATTACTACTTAAAAGATTTCCAAATGAAGCAGATCTAAACACCAAGAGGCTGAAGTCTATTGTCACTTTGGAGGGAATGCATGGAAGCGGAATTCTGGCATCAACAATACGAGATTGTTGCCCCTGTGGCCAATAAGCAAAATAGAACATTCCACATTCAAACAACCAGCAGATTGTTTGGTTTATGTAAATCAATTTGTGAGCCATGAAATATATTTTCTTCTTTTGCTCTGCACGTGTACCTGGTGAGATTATCAAGTCAATACTGCAATAGCACCTTTTCATCAAACAGCAATAAGAGAAAGCAATGCCTGCCCGTTATCCCAAAGCACAACGACATCCAGTCATGGAAATAAGTCAATGCATTTTTTTTTTTTGCATTATGCTGTAGTTTTTAATACACAAAAACTATCAGTACATGGGAAGTTCATCTCACATTCACCTGCCAGGTAAGCCGGGCTTGGACGGCTGGAGGAAGCCCAGTGGCCATGCACGCCAAGCTGTTTCCTAGGGGTCGCTCATGGCATGGCAGCTGAGGAAGCTGTCTGCTTAAACATGCTATCTGGACCTAGACGGTAGCTTTTGTCGTCGGTAAGAGCAAATTTCGTGGCCTTCTGTGAGGCATCTAGATCATGTGTATAACAGAGAGACGGAAGACAGCCTTACGACTGGCTTCCTAACTGATGCTGGGCTCTAGCATTATCCAGTCCAAACTCACGATCTGTTTCAAAGTCACATCACTTCAAAAGCATTATGATCATCACTGACATTATTAATAGGAAATAACACGAAGAGATTTTTATTTTTTTACTTTGCATCTTGAAACTACCGATGGAGGAAAAAGCAGAACATTTCTTGGAGAGTTATGTGAGACCGTGCAGAGCTGGACTGCTTCTGTTTTTAACAGTCAAGCAGGTTGTTGCGTGCACTTCATTTGCTCTTATTATTCAGCGATATGTGCCAAATGACAGTTTCCAAATGGAGGTTAAGAATGCATTAAAAAAAAAAAACATGTAAAATGTCAACAAGAATCAATAAGGCACAGTTTAAGGCATTTACCACAATTTCATACAAGCAGAACTTTTAAAAGTAACTTAGAACAATACAGCAATTAACAGGTCTCAGAAGAAAAGTGTTAGTGATAGAACAATCAAATTACATTTCTATAAACTCAAACCATTGCCCTTTCCTCTGTGAAACCTGCAATTAAAAACTCGACGGATGCTTCTAATTATACAATCCTTACCCCATCCAAAAAAATGATCTGACAAATGTGAGGGCTTCTTTAACCTGTGAATTCTATTGGCAGTGGTGGTGAAGCAAGAGAGAAGCTGTCTCCTTGGGGGCTTCTGTCAAGTTCTGTACTGTGTGCTGCGTTCAATTACTTAAGAGAAAAAAAAATTACCATGCCGTTTATAAAGCGAGTGCATGCTGAAAAATGTCACTCTCTGTGCCACTCTGGATGAAGTCAAGCAACTTCAGAACCAAATGTTTCTTGGAACAGTAGCTTGTTAACTTTTGTAACTTCCCTAAAACAGGAGCTCACGGTACGTCCTACAGGTAGATTTTAATTTTCTTTTCAATGCCACTGAAAACCTACTGGTGGCTTTAGGATTAGGCCTCTGAACTGTGGGTTTTTACTAAGAGAGGGTTACGTGAGCCCCTACCACTAAGCTTGGCTGTTGGCTTTTTCTCCCAAGCCAATCAAAAGACTTTCTGTTGGACAGAAATAACTGAAGTCACCAATATTCCCCTCTTCTACTAAAAATGAGCTTCTGGGGAGATGGAGTTCACTGGGTCTTGCAAGGACAACAGCTCTGATCTTGTAGGGTCGGCCCTGAATTATTCTAGACTGTTGAATGTGCTGTCTCAGCAATCAGTTCTCTGGCTACTGATTAAAAATTCTGGAGAAACTAGGCTGGGGGGAAAAAAAAGATACAGGTATTAAAATAATGAAGCTGTATTTCTTTCATTGTTTTTTGGTGGGGAGGAGGTTTGGGAAAGATAGCATGCCTAAAACTACCTTAAAACTTCTAAATACATAACAGCAAAAAAAAAAAAAAAAAAAAAAATCTGTAAATGTGGCCAACCTGTAATCTACCTTTGCAATTATTTATTATCTCTACTTCCAGAATGTCAGAGATTGCTAATGGGAATGAAAGGAGCTGAATTCCTCCTATTTCCATGAGGTTGCCTTCTTGCTGCTAAAACAGATAAATGATTGACTGGGGAAACGTTTCTCAAAGTAATTTCCTCCTACAGACAAGATCTAAGGAAAGCACGCAGCCCTGTCACAGAGAAGCTTTCAGAACACATCTATTACACTTGTCATTTCAATTGAAAGGATATCTTAACTTAGGTGTTCTACCTTTTTTCTCAGCTGCAAGAGACTATTGGGAGAATATTCTAGCTGAATTCTTGCTCTGCTCCAAGAAAAAAAGAAAGAAAAAAGAACAGGTACTTTTAAAAGTACAATGCCAGAGTCTCTTTTTCTGTTACTTCTTTGAGAGAGGTGCAGCAGCCTGCTATACTTCAACTGAAAGAAGCACAACTTAAAATAACTTGTAGGAGGTTTCAACTTATGGAAAGCTTGTTTATAAATTCCTCGTCAGCCCAAGAAAGACTTTCATGCAGCCAGTTTTCCTTGCTATCTTTTTAGTCATGGCGGGATGTATTGAATATATGAGGGGGGGTCCCCAAAAAACTGGAATTATCTTTGGCGGGTGGGCCCCTTGTGGTCAGTGTTCTAAGAACACAATGGCATCAGTGTACCAGTTAGCGTTGTTGTGAGAGACTGTGTTCAGCTTCAGTGAATTGTTTTTCTCCAAATTTTCCTTTAACGCATTTGCCCACTTCATGGTGGATGATTTGTGAGCATACCTGCCCACACTGCACTGAGTGCTCAGTGGCTTTTGGCCGAACACATGGCGTGAGCCCTGTGCCCCACTCCCCCTATTCACTCAATCTCTGGATGAAAAAATGTCTTCAAAGGGAAATGTTTTGCTGATGTGGAAGAGGTGGAACAAAAAAAGGCAGAAGCACTAAAAGGCATCAAAATTGATGAGTTCAAAAACTGCTTGAGCAGTTTTGAGCAGTGAAAAAAGCATCTCGATGTAGCGCACCGAACAGAGAGTACTTTAAAGGTGACTGAAGTTTAAACAAGAATACGTGATTTTTTAAATAAAGAAATTCTGGGTTTTTAGGGTCCTCCCCTCCACATGCTATCAATATAATTTAGGGCATAAAAATTTAACCCTCAAACCGTCCCTCGTGTTGGGCTTGTTTATTTAAAATTGGCATGGAGATATCATTCACTTATGGTACCTGAGGGTGGGTATGGATAAGACCTGCTTGATGACTGCCAAAATCTCATCATTGAGATGAGATGAGACGATTATATTCAGAAAGAGACAGCAAAATGCAGTCAGTGATCCAAGGGCATGTCCTGGAAGTTTCCACATATCTGAATGTTTACATACTATGTGGTCAGAGCTAAAATGTGATCAAAACTGAGTCCTTTCCTTGCAGGTTTTTTTTTTTTTTTTTTGGTTGTTGTTGTCCAGGCTGGTCTTGAACTCCTGGGTTCACGCAATCCTCCCACCTCAGACTCCTGAGTTTTAACAGTCAGAGACCCATCCCCATATCCTGAACAGATCTGACAACACAAATGAGAATTTAATGGCTAAATTCAGTCTGTGCTCTCCAACATCCCCGAAAATATTGCCAATTCATTTGTCAAGGGTTTTGGCAGGGGAATGTTAGAACACCATAAACACAGCTGGAATATTCTTAAATGAGCAGAAATTTACCTTAAATGGCAGTGAAGATTTGTCTACAGTTTGTGGAGGAAAAAAATGAAATAAACCCCTTCCCTGTCTCTGAGTTACAGATATTCGACTACCATGGTGCAGAAAACCTGGTCGATTGGACCTCAAGAGCCTGTTCTAACTGTGGGATTATGGGTAAAGGAGAATGTGTGTACTGAGGAAACGAGCAGGCCAAGGTGATGCTGTCAAACAAGCACATTTGGCTTAGAAACCTCAAGCTCTGCACACGTGTCATCTGAATTGCCACATGTGGGCTCGCGGTCCCCTGCTCGTGTTCTTGATGACGGCTCAGGCAGCAGGACTCGGAGGTGCAGCTGCCACTGTGGAGCATCCTGAAATTGTTGGAAAGCATCTCAAACCTTGCTTTCCACATCAGAAAAGATAGCAGAATAGGTTACTGCCCCAGGGGGGAAGCGCACCCTTAGGTGTGTGCATACCGCCTCCCCCCCCCCCCCCGTGAAGAAGAGTACCAGCGTTTGCTGAGTGGTTCCAAGAAGCCTGGCAGATGCTAGGTGCTTTCCGTGTAGAGAGAGGTGACAACTTCCTCGTGGGGGGTGGGGTGGGGAGGGGTGTCTGTTGGGCTGCTGAGTAATGGTGGGACTTCAACAATATGTTTTCTTGCCAATAGGAATATCATGACTTTTTTTAAAGATAGTGATTCTAATGGAAAGCGTGGGTCAGGAGGGGGTACTGAGTCACAAGGGTCCTGGAGTAATAACTCAGTGTAATGTTTATTGGGGAGGGACTGAAACTGATGTGCCAGAGAGGAAATGACAGGGGAAGCCTTGCAGCGGCCAGCCGGACTAACTGCCTCCTTTTTTAGCCAGACTGGACAGAAGCAGAAAGAGCAGAGGGAACCCCTAGCTGCACCATCACCCAACGGATTGGCTCGGAAACCTTCTTACTGAATAGATTATACCCTCATTTTGTACTAGAAGGTACTTTTCACAGCAGCTGAGCTTTCATGTTTCACTTAATTTTTGTTTATTTCTTAAACAACTGAGCCAGCAACAGACACCGAGAACAGAAACGCTGAATGCCCTGGGTCTGCGGTGCCGTTCACGGGAGACACTCCTTAATATTTGACTGAAAGCTACAATTCTTTAATGAAAGAAAAATAGGAGCATGAAAGAGAATTGTTCTCCTAACAAATACACTGATTCAGGGCGGGCCACTGTAGCCAGGAGTCCCTGGGTCCTGCTCATTGAAAAACGTACCACTGTCTGTCTTTCTATTCTAGAACAAATGGTTATAAATGAGCATTTTATTTTTTTCTGCAATAGGGAATTCTCATCAGTTCATGAGAAATTACTTTTCTGTTGGGAAAAAAAAGGCGGGAGGGAGGAGTGTTCTCGTTACATCGCACAGGCATTTGCATGAAATATAGAAAGCTTGTCACTTGTTGCGACCACAGGCTGCTTCTGGTGTCAAGTGCTGGTTAATCAACAAATGGCCGATCACATTAGCTGAGTTCTTTTGTTGAGGACCGTGTGTCCTGCTCTTTCCCAGGAAAGTTCTGGCTGCTCTAAAGTCTGATCTGCAGAAATCCACATATCTCCAGGAGTTCCAGACACTGCGGGCAGCAGTGGTGCCCATCCCTGTCCCCACCCCCGGACAGACAGAGATGGGGAGTCACTTGGTGAGTGGGCCAGGCCACACAGAGGGGGAGCAGGAGCCAGGCCAGTGCTCGCACCTCACATCTGAGGCCTCTCCACTAACCCCACAGATGCTCGCCCAGCTGAGAAGCTCCCTCCTCAATGACGAGTGACATTCTTCCAGGCGAGCAGGGCAGGGGTTGTGACAGCTGTCACTTAAAATGGGGAAACTGGCCGGGCGCAGTGGCTCAAGTCTGTAATCCTAGCACCTTAGGAGGCTGAGGTGAGAGGACTGCCTGAGCCTGCAGGTTCAAGACCAGCCCGGACACCATGGGGAGCCCTCGTCTCTACAATAAATAAAAAGTTAGCTGGGCGTGGTAGTGTGCGCCTGTAGTTCCAGCTACTCGGAAGGCGGAGGTGGAAGGTTCACCGGAGCCCAGCAGGTTGACGCTGGGGTGGCCGTGAGTGTGCTACTGCACTCCAGCCCGGGTGACAGAGTGAGACTCCAACTCAAATAAAAAGATAAATCAATAAGGCCGGGCTCGGTGGCTCAGTCTGCCATCCCAGCACTTTGCGAGGCTGACGCGAGTAGATTGCCTGAGCCCACGGGTTCGAGACCGGCCCGGGAAGCTTGGTGAGACCTCGTCTCTACAATAAATTAAAAAAAAATTAGCCGGCTGTGGTAGTGCGCATCTGTAATTCCCGCTACTTGGAAGGCTGAGGCAGAAGGATCGCTGGAGCCCAGCAGGTTGATGCCTGGGTGGCCGTGAGCGTGCCACTGCACCCAGCCTGGGCAACAGAGTGAGACTCCAACTCAAAAGATAAAATGAAATAAAATAAAATAATATAAAATGAAATAAAATAAAATAAAATGGGGGCAGCCGAGGGACGGGGTAGGGAAATGACATGAAGAAAGTCACATTTCATTTCAGTCGACGTTCTGAGACGAAGGTTCAGGGTGCGTGACCTCCAAGCCACCATACACTTTACTCTCATTAACGTAAGGAGCTCTGGTCCCTTCTCCGTGTTCTATGCCTTGGGGCGTGAAAGGTGCAAACGGAACACAGAGGCGTGACTGGGAATAAGGGCAGGGGGCGCTCAGGACTCTAATCACTAAATTGGCAGCAGACCAGGGAGCACAGCGACACCATCACCTATTTTCTTCTGACTTCAGCCACCCTGTCTTTGCCCCCGTTAGCCTCTCTCCTGGAGTGTCTGCCCGAATGGGCGCATGTGTGTCCCGACTGAGGTGGGATCGGATGATGGGGTGTGAACTGCTGGGATGGCACTCTCAGGCGTGTGAGGGTGTGTGGAAGGGATGGGGTCCCTCAGAGCCAGGGCTGGCTGGCCTTGACTCTCTGACGTCGGCCCAGGTAAAGAGCTGCAGAGGCCCCTCAGGCACTGGGTCTGTTATTTTGGGGTCACACTCGGTATTGTGTCTTGCTCGGCTTTGAGAGAACGGTGCCTTTTAAGTGAGTGTTACCTAAGGAGAATTTAGGGATTGTGACAGGATGCAGAAGCTGATCTCCAGACTGCCAGCCCTTTTCTTTTCTTTTTTTTTAAAAAAAACACCTTCAGAAGAAAATGCAGGAATCAAAGCCTGGCGTTGTTCCACCTCCGCCTAGTTTTCCTCTAGACTACCTCCACTGGGGGGCTCCGGGGGTGGCTGTGGGTAGAAGTCTTGTTCTCTGGGCCTTCCATTCTAGCAACTGACATCATGAAGCCTCCTGTCTAAAAAGCAAAAAAACAGGTGTGCTTCCTCACATGGTGCTGAAATTCGGTAAAACTTGTGAGATGGGTGAAAATGGGTGCCTCCAGCCTCGAGACCCATCTTTCCTCTTAGCACGTAGTTTTGGGGTGCCACTGCTGGCCCGGAACCAGAGACTGAGGATGAAGCTGGGTTTCCAACCTGCTCCCTAGAAATTGCACTGGTACCCACGCTCCTAAGAGAAGGAAGACCTCCTCCTGTGGCAAAATCATGGACTTCGCTAAGAACTGGAAAACACATTTTACAGAAACACCTCCACTTCGGACTTGGGGAACTGCAGTCAGACAAGTGCTAACACTCGCTGTCGGCCTCGATGAGTGGTTTGAGGAAGGGGCTGTGTGGCATGGCCAAAGGGGAGGCCCACAGAGCGAGAACAGGGATTTCCAGCTATTTTGTACAGGGGCTTGCAAAACGATTGGTTTGCATTCAAGGCCCTGCTTTCACGTCTACCAAGGTGGCAAAGAAGAGCCCATAAGCTTCTTCGGGATGAAGTCATTTTCCTGCCACTTAATGAACTCCCCGGACTCGGGACTCGCGGAGTTTCCCTCTTTGAAATACAACTCCAATATTCCAAGAGAGGCTCAGCTCCTCCGAGTCCACATCTGCCCTGCACTGCGTGTGACATGGGCACTTTTCCCCTGGTTTTCTCACACTTCTTTCAGGCACAGGCCGGAAGCCTGAAGTCTGGGGTGGTGCTGAGAGATGTCCTTTCTCGTCCTCCACGCCTCCTCCTTGCCCCTCTAAAATCTGCTTCAATTTGAGACCAGAAAGAGGGGTGCGGGGGCAGGGCAGCCCGCCAGGGCCGCCAGGGCAGCCTGACAGTGACAACCTGAGCTAATATGTCGGCACCGGGACCTTCTCGACTTGAGAAATAAAAGGTGATCATTTCTGCGGCGGTGAAAAGTTCAGGTTGGATAACTTTATCACACGGGACGTATTACAGGGTGACCTCTTGCTGTGCGTGGTGCCTCCAACTACCTCGGCTGTGACACAGAGTTCCAATTAGCACTTCAGGAGAGAGGCTTTGCGGGCAACGCACTCACCTCGACTCAGCCCGTCGGGTCCCCGGAGGATGCGGCATTCCTCGATCTGGCCAAATGGAGAAAACATCACCCTGATATCATTCTCATTACACTTCTTCGAGACCATTCCTATGAACAGTTTTCTGTCTTCCACGGCTAGGAGATAAAAATAACGAATGAGCGAGGGCCATCTCATCTTTTTTTTTTCTCGTGATCAATGCTTCATTATCCCGTCAAGCCAGGCCCCAGCCATGTGGGACGGCACACGTGTCCCGAGGCTGACTCTGCAGACAACCAGCTCACCCTCCTCCCTCCTCCCACCTGGCCCTTCAAGAATCTGTCCCCTCTGTGCATTTGTGCTTACTAATAAAACCTCTTAATAGGGCATGGAATGCTGTTTTGGTTCTTCCATTCGGAAACTAACGGGAACGTGTTTACAAAAATTTTAAAGTACTTGTGTGACTGCTGAACGCGACCAGCCCACAGAGATATTGTTGGATACAGATTTTAATTTGAGTTTTTTGGAGATGCTCTTTTAACCCGAGTGACAGGGAAAGAGAAAGGTCAGGAGAGGAAAAAACAACAGGAGTAGATGGAGTGAGACAGTCAATGAAAGTTTTCACACAGCATCCGAGGGAAGAAGACATTTCTCTCCCCTACTTCAAACAGCTTCAACCCCACACTGATCTGGACCAGGATAAGTCATCAGTGACACTCATTTCTCTGGAAAGCCAGGAAGGTGTCTCCCTCCGGTGGTACTGGCCACGTAGCCCTCACGAGGCCCTGCACCGGCTTCTACCAGCTAGGTTATTTCAGCCCAGGAAGGAAGCCAATTCAAGGGATGAGAACGAAGTTCGGTCCCCTGAGAGTCACCTCGGATGGCCCCACGCCCACTCCCATGCTCCCACCCCTTCCCGAAAGAACGAGGGACCGGCTCTGTTCTAAGCCCTGGAAGGCAGGACTCCTGCCAAACAGAAGAGCAGTTTAGGTATCATGACAGCCACACGTGGGTTCTAACCTTGGGACCTGACAGGGGAGATGGGCCCACATTTACCTGGGATGACCTGGGAGATTTTCCTCAAAATCTCCGAGCCTGGGCTGGGGACACCTGGCCTACATTTAGCCTGGAAGGGGCCAGAACTGATGTCAGGACAGCGCCGGGAGCCTTTTTTAGTAGAGGTTCCTTTTTTTAGGACATCACAGACGCCCGTGGGGAGAAGTCCTGCTTATCAATCCATTTCTTAGAAACTAAAACAAAAGCTAGCCGGCTGCACCAGAGACCATCGGCGCCGGGAGGGGCCCTGCTGAGGTTACTTTGTACAACCTTTGTTTGGCATCTGCACCACCATCTTGTGAGGGCTATTGAACGGGTTTTATTTCTGTTTCTTTTATGCCTTCCCTGGACAGCAACTGTTTCATTTTCATTACCCAACCAGCATTTATTCCAGACTCGCTGGGGCCAGTTGCTTCTGGAAGCTGAGTTAAAATACACGTCTGTGCCACCTGCGAGCTGGGGCAAGTAGGCTCAGGAAGCAGCCGCGTGGCATGGCGGCTTCCTCGGCCCACGCCTGTGCTGTCCGACACCGCCTGAGCCCCCCGTGGCCACTGGGTGCTTAAAAGGGCTGGTGTGATTTTTATTTTATTTTTTGAGTTGAAGTCTCATTCTTGTCACCCTGGCTGGAGTGCAGTGGCACTCTCACGGCCACCTCAGCCTCGACCTGCTGGGCTCCGGCAATTCTTCCACCTCAGTCTTCCAAGTTGCTGGAACTACAGATGCACACCACCACAGCCAGCTAGTTTTTGTGATTTACTGTAGAGTCGAGGTCTCACCAAGTTGCCCAGGCAGGTCTTGAATCTCCAGGCTCAGGCAATCCTCTTGCCTCGGCCTCCCAAAGTGCTGGGATGACAGGCTGAGCCACCCTGCCCGGCCAGGAGGTGATTTTTAAATGTAACTCAATTATTTAAATTTTATCTATTTGTTTATATATATATATATATTTTGAGTCAGGGTCTCACTCTGTCACCCAGGCTGGAGTGCAGTGGCACAGTCACAGCTCACTTCAGCCTCCAGCTCCTGGGTTCAGGTGATCCTCCCACCTCAGCCTCTCCAGGAGCAGGGACTACAGGTGTGCATCACCACACCTGGGCTAATTTTTTGATTTTTTTGTAGAGACGAGGTCTTGCTATGTTGCCCAGCTAGTCTTAAACTCCTGAGCTCAAGCCATCCTCCTGCCTTGGCCTCCCAAAGTGCTGAGATTATAGGCATGAGTTACCACCATGCCCTGTCATACTAATTTAAATCTTAAAAGTCACAGGTGACTGTTGTATGGCACCATGCAACTCTGTAGGGCCTGTAGGAGATAGCCAAAGGTTCCTTGTCACAACATCCCAGACTCCAGGAAGAGCCCCAAGGGATGGTTGCTGTCTAAAAGATCTGTGCCCCGCCCCCACCCCCAGGCCTAGCAGTAGAGGGACTTGCCTGGGGCCTCGTGGCCTGGTGCTCTACTCCCAGCCCAGTGCTCCTTTTGCCTCCAGGTTCAGAGGAAAGGATGAGGCTTGAGGGAAAGGTGACACCATGATGAGGAGACTGAGGTTCTAGCCCCAGGGCCGCCATTCCTCTGATGTGCAACCCAGGGGAATCTGCTGACCTCTGAGGACCTCAAGTTTTGTCATCCATGAAGGTTTAAACTCTCTTCTCTCACCTAGCAATGGAGAGAGGGCGGCTTGTGACATGCTTGGGCTGACTGGAGCTCGTGGGGTGGGGAGGCTGGAGGGGTCTACCCAGCCTCTCTCTATACTGTGACAGCTCCCAAGACCACCCAGAAACTCCAGGGCTCCAAGGAACACAGGTTGAAAAGCACAGTTCCATAAGACTTGTGAACTGTGACTGGTGCACCCATGTGGCTGAGAACGGCTTGAGGGTAGATGTGGAACTCGCTGGACTGGACTGCAGCCAGGGAGGGGGCAGGACGGAGCCGAGGTAGGGGTGACGGTGGGGGGAGGAGTGAATGATGACAAAGTCCTAACCAGACCTGGCTCAGGCTCCGGAGTAAGTAGGGACAGTGTGTTTGGGGTGGAAGGAGGAGAGCAGCCTGCCTTTGGGACAACACAGCCATTTTCTTCATCTGCAGAGAAGGGGCCAATGTCTAAGGAACCCATAGCAAGCCTGGTCACTGCTGGTACAGAGACAACAGAGACCTGGGCCACAGGCTTCCTGGCTGTGATTCCTGGGAGAGAGGCTGCTGAGGACCGGACTTCCTGCACGTGGATGGCAAATGTCTACTTCAAGTTCCTTTTTCTCTCTCCAGAGTAGGTGAAGTACCAGTGATCCACCGTGAACCAGCAAGGCCTGGGTGGTCACGGGCAGTGCAGGTGTGATGACTGGGCGTGGAGACACAGGAGCCCTGGGCAAGGGCGTCCAGCCTTAGACGCCTGGGGCTGTCTAGGACACCTGCACTCCCCCCAACACAGGAGGGTGCCTGCCAGCCAGGCAAGGGTGTGGCATCCCCTAGACCGGGAAGGAGAAAGGGATGGAACTGACTGAAAGCAGGCTGAGTAGGGAAGGAGACTTCTCGACTCCTTCTTCTGCCTCTTTGCTGGGGCTCCTACCCCTTACAAACTGTGGCCAGCATCTTTATGGGAGTAAAAAAAAAAACCAAAACTGAAAAATATGGTTTACCCTGAAAAATATGATTTTAGTTCTTTTAAACAAAAGCGAATGAAAAATTCCTGCTTGGTCCTTGGTTTCACTGGTAAACTTATAATTATGGTGTTTAGCTAAAACAATTTACAGGTTTCGAGCTTCAGGGTGATGCCATAGTAAATGACACATGCAGCTCTGAGTAAGCTTAAAAATGGTTTTTGCCTAAGATGAATATTAAGAAAATGGAAACCGCTCAGGAAGAAATCCTGACTTCCTAGCCATCACTCAGGGTAAACCCAGCCAGGCAGTAAGAAGGGAGATCACACTCACTTTCTAAAATAGCAAGTATTAGCTAAGAAAAAACAAAACGAAACAAAATGGAGACCAACGTCATCCATATGCTATGAGAATACAGCTTCCTGCTTCCCGTGTCCCCACGTGCGGGAGCTCATGCGAGCGTGCATGGCGAAAGCCGGGCGTTAGCGATCTCCTACTGGCCAGAGCTGCTCTCTCTGTGGTTTCAACACTTGGGCCGTGTTTGCCTAGTAGAGTGGACATGGTAAAACACACCCAGCTTTCCTCTCCCTGGAGTTTTCTTATTTTTCCAGTGCAAATTTGTTCATGAAGTTTATTCCTGGGACTCCCATTTTAAGGATTCCTAAAAGTTTTGTAAACATTCTAAATAAACACACTTAATCTGGACTTAACTTTTTCATCAGTTTTTGATAACTTTCTTGGTGAGTTTTTCCAGAGGCTTATTTTTTCTATCTATAAGAATGTCAATTGCTTAAATGAACCTACTATGTTCATAGCATTCTGTTAGGTGCTTTAGGGGAATTTAAAAAAATAATTCAAAGGTTTCTTCCCTCTAAGGGAAAAGTCATTTTCTTCCAGGACAGCCAGTGAATGAGGACAGGGAAATCATTTATTTTTTGAGTCAGAGTCTCACTCTGTTGCTTAGGCTGGAGTGCAGTGGCACGATCATGGTTACCACAGCCTGGACCTGCTGGGCTCAGGTGATCCTTCTGCCTCAGCCTTCCAAATAGCTGGAACTACAGGTGAGTGCCACCATACCCAGCTAAGTTTTTGATTTATTGTAGAGATGAGATCTTGCCAAGTTGCCTAGGCTGGTCTCAAACCCCTGGGCTCAGACAATCCTCTGGCCTCCATTTCTCAAAGTGTTGGGATTATAGGCATGAGCCACCGTGCCTACTGGAAATACTTTTATATACAAAGTAATACATAGATGAGATCTCCTACACTGGTAACTACAAGCACAGAATTAAAACTGGCTCCACACCAGCGGCCAAATAAAGTTCTTCCATGGCACAATGAGAAAGAGTTAATACCTTAAGTATGAGGGGTGAGTTTTTAAAGTTAGGGGAATAGAAATGGAATTTCTAAAAAATCCCTAATTGTAAGTCTGTGCTAACACCCTGGTGTACAATCTGTCAAAGTCACACCTGGATTTGGGGCTGCCTGAATTAATTAACAACTTTTCAATGTGTTAGTGCTAACATATGGCATTTAATTACTGCCTCCAACTCTGTGAGTCTCTCCACTTTGAATTTCAAAATTATTTCTTCATCTTCCAGTAAATCAGAAAGTAGCTGGATGGAAACACCCTGTGATTCCTATTTTTAACGGCAGCTTTGCCTCCCCTGACAATGTTTTAGTTATCCTGACTCCTGCCAGCTCTGAACTTGACACGTGGACACGAGAGCTTTCGGAGGCCTTGAGAAAGCCAGGCAGTGGGGCTTAAGTGGCATTTCTGGCTTCTAGGCTTTAAGGACCCCCAGCAAGTCTTGAGGCTGGAGGGTTAACACAGGCTGGATTTATGTTCTGTCTACAGAGGGAGACCTCTCGCGATGAGAAGCCGGGCAGAAGAGTGCACCCTGGCTCCGGCCACGGAAACCCCAGCACAGAAGCAAAGCAGCAAAGTGAGCTCGCCATTGCTCCCTGAGAGGCCAACTTCAGCCACTGTTTTTAATTGTCAATCTCGCACAGTTGGAACCTTGATCAGCCTAGCAACAGAGGATTAGAAGCTGGAGGGTGCAGAGCTGGCCTGCAGAATGAGAGGAAGGAGCAGTGCTCATGCTAGTTCCTGCTGGCACCCTAGATCCTCGCCTCCTCAAATGCCTTCCCTGTGCTATCATCCAACTTTCTGCAATGGAAAAATAACAAACACACTGGACTCTGATGGGACTTGGCCATTTATTTGGGGTGCTCCTCTTAACAGCCCCAGCGGTTTTGGACTTACCCAGAGTGAGAGTTTCTTTTCCTTTTGGACACCTGGCCCAGTAGGAGCACATGGACAGGAACTAAAATGCTTTGGGTCTGCATCAACGTGCAGGCGGCTGCAGCTTAAGCCAGAGCCCCCTGAAGGGGCAGGCTGTGTGCAGCCAGGGGGACTTAGGAAGTCTGTTTCATGAAATCCCAACGTGGGGACTGATCCGAGAGCCATCTACCATTTCTGGGTTCACTGCGGAGGTGCCCTCTGTCAGGATCTCCAGTTGGATGCAAGCTTCCAAGGGCGATTGCTCTTCTGAAATTCATGTGTCTGTCCCTAATTAATCTGTGATTAGCAGCCCTTTCTTGCTCAGCAAATACAAAGTTTGAGAAATCTGAACACACTGATAATGAAGACAGTAGCTGTCGAACTGTGATGAGTCCTTTGTGCGATCCATAAATGTCAGCAAACTCAATAAAAGTGCAATTAGAGCTCGTTAGACTTCTTTCACAATTTCGGGAGCTATTTAGGGCATCCAAGCCAAAGACATTTTGTGCTCTCTGAGCTTTTGAAACTGTGCTTACCTGTCAAAAATGCCATGTGAAATCAGAAAAGGCTTGCAGCTTTCATCACTTGCTTTAGGGAATTAGACACGTCTCCTGACTTTTCAGCCAGGTTCAAGGTGAACCCAGAACCCTGTTCACGTCCATTTGAGTCTCCCTAGGATAAGTCCTTTAAAGGCAGCCTTTGGATCACTTATACTTTTGGACTTTTCTTACTGGCAATTCAGAAAATGAAGATCAAGCTACAAAGAAAAGGAGAAGTGGCCCATCTCGAAGGTCTGGGGGTTTCCATTTGTCTGTACTGATCTGCGCTTGGGTCTGAACAGCCCACGCCCGGACAGGCAGCCTCTGCCTCTCAGAATGCCCTGACACATCTGCCTCAGTTAGTGGAATCAGGCCGTGAACTTAGCATAGCTTAACACACTGAACATTTACTATGTGCCAGGCATTACACTAAGCGCTTTACAGTTGTTAACTGGTGTAATCCTCAAACAACCTTGTAAGGCAGGCATTACAGAGAGAGTTCACACTAGCTGTGGCCCCTCCTTACAGCTGAAGGTTCATTAACCCGCCCACGGACACAGCCAGCAAGCGCAGTTAGGAGACAAATCCAGACTTCTCAGAGGAATTCTTAACTGCTGTCCCCCGCTGCCTCCCTGAAAAATGGCACTTTAAGGTACTCTCTTGTCCTGCTAACAATGGTCCCCAATCCGCCTTGGCTTTGGAGATCATGCAAGATTGGGTGCATGATCCCATGTCATGGCCCATGAGAGTTTCATTCTGTTGCTGTGGTTTGAGACCCAAAGCAAATTTTGTCCTCAGTGTCCACAACAGACACTCGACAGCAAGAGCAATGAAATACTCTGAGGACTCTAGGCAGCTGTCTGTAGACAGGATTCTCTAAGTTGGGGTGAACCTGTACAACAGAAAATGCCGAAGGAAAAAAAATACCTCCACGTTTCAGCCGTTGGGAGATTTCAGGTCAGATGTTTTCAACTCAGTTCTCTAACTTGTCATTTTCTAAAATAACTACAACCTAAGGTTTAGAAATGAGACCAACCCCTTCCCACAGAATTTCGCTCCATGGTCCTTATCCTGACAAAGCTTAGCGGATTATGGCGCTAAAGGATAGGCAGCAAGCATCTCTTAGTGGCCAGATGCCTGGAGATGACCTGAACCAACAGGATTCATCCCTCGAATGTAAGGTTCTCCTCTCCTGCCTCCTCGCCGAGGTGCTGAATAGACTGCATGCATGTGTCTCCACAGCAAAAGTGCTCAAGGAGCCAGCATGGTGAAATGGCCCTTGGTATCTCAACGAAGAACCCCCAAGAGCTGGGGGACTGTCTCTGGGTGACAACAGAACTCAGCATCTTAAAGACATGCTCTATTGCCACAAAGACCGTAGGAAACATCTCATCTGAGGCTTGGGGGAAAACAAGGCGCCCTTGTGGAGGCAGTCACCATCAGTCCCATTTCGCGAATGAGGAGCTTCAAGTTCAATGTTTAAGTGACTCCCGGACTGAGTGTGAAGTCCACAGGGTCAGAGACACGAGCACCCCAGGAAGGCTTTTCTTCCTCTTCCTTTCACTAGTCATGGCTGTAGCCCAGCCCCGAGTAACATGCCTGGAGCACAGGAAGGGGCTGTGAGTCACTGTGGAACACAGGAGCGAAGTGACCTGGTCACGGTCCCACAACAAAGTGGCAGCAGATTTGAGAACTTCTGACACTAGATGATGTGTTTATGATAATGCAGGATAGAAAAAAGGCAATTAACCTTAAGAAAAGCACAGGACTGAGGAGAAGACAGTGGTTAAAGTACCACAGTCTACTCCCAGAGAGAGGAAAGTTTTTTAAAATTTTATTTATGTATTTATCTTGCTACGTGGCCCAGGCTGGCCTCAAACTCCTGGGCTCAAGGGACCCTCCTGCCTGAGGCTCCTGAGTGTCTGGGACTACAAGTGCATGCCACCACAGCTGGCTACTTTTTATGTTTCGTATAGTCAGGCTCTCAGTATGCTGCCCAGACTTGTCTTGAACTCCTGGCCTCACGCGATCCTCCTGCCTCCGTCTCGCCTCCTGAGGAACTGGAGCTACAGGCGTGGGCCTCGGTGCCCATGGAGGGAGGAAAGCTTTGATAAACCAAGTGCTAGCAGCACGACACTACGACTTGGAAATTTTCTTCTCAACTTTCTAGTCTGTGGAGAAGCCAGAAAATGGAATGCACTACAATTAGCAAAAAAATACCTTGTGGGGAGATTTAGAGCCCAATCATCATTTACATTCGCCGATATGCAGATCTCTAAGTGCATGGCTTCTGCCCTGATTACTAATTAATGAGGTGCAAAACTGCCTGTTGGAAGGAAGCAATGCTGATTATGTCAGCCTTAAGGGACAGAGAAGCTTCCCGTCTAAGAAGGTAGCGGATTCCTTTATCATACATTTCAGTAAATTAAAAGAACAAAACAGGGACAGAAGGTTTGTGAAAAGGGAAGCAAAGACTTCAAGAGAGGGAAACGTGGCTTCCAACTCTCCTGAGTCTTGAAGAGCCAAATCCCAATTACTTCATGGACCTATCAAATGCATATTTTTGCATCAAGTGTACGTTTATTTAATCAGCAGACTGAACTCTGAATGAATTCTGATGCAAATATGTTGGTACAATTTAGAGAAGAGTGAAACAAAACATCTCCAAGTCAAGGAGAAACAAATGGAAAAGGAGGAAAAAAGAAAGAAAAAGAAAGCCTAGTTCTTTTTTTTGAGTCGGAGTCTCACTCTGTCTCCAAGGCTGGATGGAGTGCAGTGGTACGCTGCTCACTGCCACCGCAGCCTTGACCTGTGGGGCTCAGGTGAGCCTTCCGTCTCAGCCTTCCAAGTAGCAGGAACCACAGGCATGTGCCACCACTCCTGGCTCATTTTTTAATTTACTGTTGAGATGAGGTTCTGCCAAGTTGCCCAGGCTGGTCTCAAACCCCTGGACTCAGGCAATCCTCTCACCTTGGCCTCCCAAAGTGCTGGGATTATAGGTGTGAGCCATCGCACCGGCCAACAGCCCAATTCTTAATGAGCAATTCCTCTACCGCTCATGTTGTCTCTGTCTCTCTTCCCGACACCCCTGCTCCCATCAAGTGTCCCCATGTTGCTTTGCTGCAGGAGACAAGAGCCCAAGGCCACAGCGTCACTGCCCAGGGCAAGCCCCAAACAGAGGGAACAGCACTCCTTGTCACAGTCTTTACCCTGGAGACAGATATGGCAGAAGTGGAGCATCCCCAGACGAGCAGACTTCGGTGGAAGGTTCCGGGCAGTGCTCTCTGCCTCCCAGAGAGAGGAAGCTGCAGGGTACGCTCCTCCCGCCCCACCCCCACCTGACCTTTCCACTTACAGAAGCAGGTATTAGCAAAGGAGACAGTTGGCCACCACCTACCGTTGGACTTTTCACTATCTGCAGGTTTCATCTGAATGGGATGATGCATCTAAAAACACAAAAGTGAGAAGGTAAAGGCAGATTGAACAACTGTAAAGACAGTCTCAGCAATCTGAAGCAACTTGAGAACTGACATTGTTTTAAGGGCGCGTGAGTGATGACAAGCCTTCTCCCAGGTGAGCTTCACCGCCTGTGTGGTGTGCTCAGGGGTCTAATGCTTCAGGTCCCAGGCACTGCGACACTGGACGTATTTCAAAGCTTGGGCTTTGTGGTCAGACTGGAGTTTGAAACCTGGCTCTGCCACCCAGGGTAGTTCCTGCCTTCATCTTATCAGGAGCTTTGGCTCTGCCATTCGTTACAGCTATGTGATTCTGGGCAAGGGGTTCAACTTCTCTGTGCCTCAGTCTCTCCAATCTGAGAGGTGGCGATAATGTCTGTGTGGTGAGGTCATGAGAATTAAATGACAAAATGCATCTCAAGTGCTTCACAAGCAGAGACTAAGATGTGTCGAGAACTATTTCGCCACTGTTATTGCGCTATTATAATTTTTTTTTTTTTTGAGTTGGAGTCTCACTGCATCACCCAGACTGGAGTGCAGTGGCACGGTCACGGCCACCCCAGTGTCCACTTGCTGGGCTCCGGTAATCCTTCCGCCTCAGCCTTCCAAGTAGCTGGAACTACAGGTGCATGCTACCACGTTTGGCTAAGTTTTTGGTTTATTGCAGAGACGAGGTCTCGCCATGTTGCCCAGGCTGGTCTCAAATCCGTAGGCTCAGGCAATCCTCTCACCTGGGCCTCCCAAAATGCTGGGATGACAGGCTTGAGCCACTGCACCCAGCCGCTATTATAAATTTGAACACAGATGGTCTTTGTTTCTTTTCTGGCGACTCTGCTTGCTTGTTACATGGACTTTTCTTAGGTCCCATGAGCAACTTGAACGTCAAGTAGTTGATCGACTCACATGCCAGTATACGATTTTTATTAAATGCTAATAAAAGTATTGAACAGGAACGAGGGCCACTGAAGAATGGAAGAAGAAAGGACGGAGAGCAGGAAGGCGGGGGGGGCGGAAGACAGGGGAGCGGCTCCCCTTCACAGCCCCAGGCACGATCCACCGAGTTCACTCCACACCTGGAACGCCACCTCCACTTCCAATTAAAATAAATCCCTCAAGCCACCTTCAGAGGAGCTCCTGCTTCGTATTTCCTCACACCCCGAGGAACACAGAAGCCACAGGCGGGATGGAGTTGCAGGCAGTGCAGATGCTTTCATTACAAGGGGTCCCGCGCTCTCTGAACCTCTGATTTCCCCAGTGGACTTGCATGGCGTGCACGCCACGGCTCTGGATCTCCTCTCATTTAAATGAGAGGGGACCGGCACTTGGCTCTGGCCCCTCCATGATGAGAAATTACCCTCGGCAGTCAGGACCCCACGCACCGCCTACCCTCCAGGGTCTTCCAGACAGAAGAGGAGGAGACGAGAGGAACAAGGGCCAAGAGGTGACGTAACCGGGCTGTTTCACTTCTCCTACAGGCAAGACACTGGACACACAGGACACAGGCCTCAGGGGTGGGGTCCCTCGTACTCCCGTTTCACTTGTTAATATACCCAACTTGTGGAGGGGCGGCCAGGGTGGGGGTGCAATGCGTAGGGCTCGGTCAGTCAGCAGACCGGTCTTCGGAGAAAAGAGTGGAACAGATTCTTCAAAGCAGGCAGAAGGGATGTGTGGAAACCTCGGCTAGGGCCGAGACACGTGACCTCCACCTTACAGTAATGGAGAGAAGGACAGGAACGATGCTTGCGCCACGTGGACCGTCTCTTTAAGTCATCCTCCCAGCATGGTCCAGCAAATGCGGGTGCTGCGGCTGCCAAGGTCAGACTCCAGGCCAAGGACAGGGAACAAAGGCCAGTGGAGAAGTCCCTCCCTCAGTGCTCGGCATGTGGAGGGAGACACAACTGACAGCCAGCGAGCCCCCTGGCAGATGCTTGGGAAGAGACAAGATGAGCGCACGGGGGGTCCAGGGGTGTGGACACTGAACCCTGCCTGGTGAGGAGGCCAAGGCTTCCTAGCAAAAAGGATGTCTGGCTCTGAGTCCTTGGGCTTGCCAGCAGAGGAAGGGGGAGTGGTCATGAGAAACCCATGGGCTATCCCACCTCAGACGCAGTGGTGAGAAGGGGATTCCAGTGTCAACAAGATGGCCATGGGAGTGGGCCGCAAGAGCGCCAGCACCCAGTTCTCAGAGGGTCCCGCCCATGAAGGAACTCGAATTATGTCTAAAGTCCGTGGTCGGAGATAGAAGATTTATGCATAAGAGATCGAATTCTGTATTCTAGAAATGTCACTGTGGCCACAGCGTGGAGGGTGAGTATATAAGAGAGTCATAGGAGGCAGGGAGGACAGTGAAGAGGCTGCCGCAAACAGCCCAAGGGACGCTGACAAAGTCTGACCTCTTTGTGGTAACCAGCAGGATGCAAGAATGGTGGGGAGGAGAACCCCACACCTGGGCAACCTTGTGGGCTGCGGGATCACTGCCCGATTAGGGAGACATGATGAAGGGGTCTGGGGGCGGCAGCTCTGGACATCCTCAATTTGAGACAACTGTGGGATGTACAGAGAAGCTGGAAGCGTGGGGCTCAAGCTCGAGAGAGGGGCCAGGGCTACAGAGAATGTTCTGGAAGGGGGCAGTGGAAGCCACGGGCATGAGTGAAGCCGTGAGAGAGGGAAGGCAGAGTGAAAAGAGCCAAGGACAGACCTCCAGAGAAAACCAGGAAAGAGGAGTCTGAGGGAGACACAGCAAGGGGCGGAGGAAGCCACGGGAGGCCCCGGTCCCATGGGAGCCATAGGGAGAGTTTGAAGAAGAGGGGAGTGGCCAGAGCAAGTGCGGCTGGGGTCTACAATGAAAACACCCAATATCTGGTTTTGGCAGTAAAAATTTCTTTAGGGCATCGATCAGAAGCAACTTCTGTGGAGTGATGGGGACCAGCGCGCCAGGCTGTGGGGTGGAGATGTTTTGGGAGGACGGCAGTGGAGACTGTAAGCAGACACTGCTGTTTCGAGAAGACGACCAGCAAAGGGGGAACGATGCTAGGCTCCAGCAGAGGCCAGGCGCAGAGGCCAGGAGTGGAGGACAGAAGCGGCATCTTTCAAGGCAGGAGAGATGTGTCACCTGCTGAAGAGTCAGGTGAGGCCCGCAGGTCACAGGCTCGGGGGAAAGAAGGGCAGTGCACCTGAGTCATGGATAGGGGGCCCAAACCCGAAATGAACAAAGCTCCTGTCCTCAGGGTCCTGCCATCTCCCCTGTGGATGACAGGCATGTACCCAGCAAAGGTGACACTTGTCAGAAGGGAGCACAGACGGAGTGCCTGCAGGCAGACGTCCCTGGGAGGTACGTGCACTGGAGGGAGACTCCGGGAGTGGCAGGGACAGAATGACGCCGTCCGTCCTAAGGCTGTGAGGCCCTGGCAATGGCATAGCCTAGTGCGCACAGTTCACAGGTCTCAAGGGAACAGGTGATGGCAGGAAGGACACACAGCTGGCTGACAACAGAGCCGGGATCAGAAATCTAGTCTTCCTCCTCTTAATCGAGCTCCCCCTTACCACAAGGCTTCCCTAGAAGATGTCCACGTGGGACCTGAACATGTGAGCCTCCCACGCTCCAAAGGAACCAGACACACAGAACTTTGAAGGCCCCTGCAACATCCCCTCCAGGGTAAGTTATCTTCCTTTCCTCAACCTCCCCCCAACATGTCACTTCTTGTGTTGTGACTAGTGTTCCAGTAAGACTTGACTCTTGGTCTTTTAGCAGCTGCTGAGAGGGTGAACTTCGTTTCTGACCTAAGTAAGAGTCTCCAGGAAAGTCCCAGTGGTGGTGATAACACAGACGCTGCAGGCTTGAACTTTGTTTTGGTCTTTCCTGGTCCCCGGAAGAAAAAAAATCATCTCTGGAAAGCTCTGGACTGTCAGAGCATGATGAATTCTGAACGGTGGTCACCCCACGTCAGGGATGTTCCGAAGACAAGTTGCCAGATGATGTAAGTAAAGCGCTGTGACCTTCTGGGGAAAGGTATTCCAGCAGGGCTGCATTAAGAATGGCTCACTGTCACCCACAGTTCATTTGAGTCACAAGGTCCTGATCACACACGGGGATGTAAATGTCTAGGAAGACGGAAAGTGAACAGGAGGAGTTGTTCTCACTACGATGCTTCTCTTCCTTCATATCTCATGATTCCAAGAACTCTGGGAGATTTCTTGAGTGGAGGAAGAAACTTATGATAAGAGAGTGGGCATTCTAGGTTAGAGTTTCAAGTTAGAAAAAGGGGATTCTTTACCCATGACAGAAACAGTTTCAAAGATCTGACCCAGTATGATGCCAGGACTACTCATTTGTTCACTTGTTTCTGCTTCTCCCAGATATGTCAGATGCTGGGAATGGAAGGGTGAGAAAGACTTCTCATCACAATGGAGCCTGTAATAAGGTCACAGGGACAGTCGTAGCAGCCATTTCCACAGTGTGGTATGAGGTGTGCTGAGACCCGCAGTGTGGGAACTCAGAGACAAGGCTGAGGAGGACACACTGGGGAAGGTGTCTCAGGTGAGGCAAGGTCTGAGTTCACGCTTGCAAGCATCCCGATGTTGACCAGACGATGAGTGAGGGGCATTTCAGGGAAGGGAATGACATACTGGAAGGCACAGAGCATGAGGAAATTGGCCACGAGGTTACTAAAGAATGAGGACATGACATTCTAACCCACAGAGGAAGCAACAGAAGATGCTAAAGGTCGTTCTCCGAAAACAAAATACCAAGCACAAGACGACGAGTAAGGGACATATTCGGGGACTGGACAGTTTCAAAGAAGAAGAAAGCAACGCTAGTCAGTTCCACCCGAGTGAAAACTGTCCTTGCGCCAGGATTGGCACTGAGGTCAGACCCTCAGTGACTTTCTCAAGAACGAAAGAAGACGGTAGGGCCAGAGTCATGCTTCTCAATGGCTTCTTGCATCTTGGGAACCTGGCCATCTGCCTGACAGAGTTAGATGGGGCTGGAGGCT